TTCAAATTAAAGGTATAGTTTATTTTATTACATTACGGAAATGAAAAAAAGCCATAAAACAACATCTGCTGGTGGATAGAAGACATGTTATGCGGACGGCAAGTACAGGCACAAATGTTCAGTGAAACCATACAGGTGAATATCCACTCCACAGGGGATGCCCACAGAGTGGAGTCCTTTCTCCTCTACTGTGGAACCTAGTGGTAGATGAACTGCTGAAAACACTAAACAATCAAGGGCTGTACGCCCAAGGATATGCCGATGACATAGTCATCCTTATCCAAGGGAAACACCAAACCACAGTCTTTGAACTCATGCAAAGAGCTCTTAGGCTGACAGAAATGTGGTGCGCTAAGGAAAACCTTTTGGTAAACCCTGACAAGGCACAAATCATAACCTTTACTCGGAAAACAAGGTTGGAGGTTTTAGAAACTCAGACTCTGTTTGGAGGAAGGCTAAACAAAACGAACCAAGTAAAATATCTGGGTCTAATCCTAGATAGCAAACTTACTTGGAACCAACACTTACAAAAAGTGACCAACAAATGTAAAATGTCTCTCATTGTAGGGAGACGGGCATTTGGAAAAACATGGGGATTAAAACCAAAAATGGTCTACTGGCTATATTTGGTAATAGCAAGACCTCTGATAACTTATGGAGCGGTTGTTTGGTGACCAAAAGTAAACCAGAAAACAGCCCTCAATACCCTCTCAGGAGTACAGAGGCTGGCATGCCTTTGTGTGTCGACAACCTCTATGGAAATCATTCTAAACCTCCCACCCCTTGACCTAGTCATAAAGGGGGAGGTCAGAATGAGTACATACATACTGGAAATCTCCAACAACTGGAACCCACTGGGACATAAAACATACCAGAATAACACAGTAAATAAATCTATATTAAATATGGGATCAGATCACATGACACCCCTCCTAACCTTTAACAGACTCTTCCAGGTCAACTGTAACTGGAACGAGGTAAATAAGGAAATAAATAAATACTTGCTAAGCGGTCTCGTATGGTATACGGATGGATCTAAAACTAACAAGGGAACAGGCTCTGGCGTACATGGAGTTAAACCCAAATGCGACTTCATCGTCTCACTGGGAAAACATGCCACTGTATTTCAGGCTGAAATACATGCAATCGAATTATGTGTACGAGAGAATTTAAGAAGGAAGTACAAAAAAGAAACCATCCTAATTCTCTCATATAGCCAAGCAGCTTTAAAGGCTCTTGATTCAACAGAATCAAGTCAAATCTAAAACTAGCGTGGGTACCAGGGCACAAAGGTATCCAAGGAAATAAAAAAGATGATGATTTCGTGAAAGAGGGATCAGATCTACCATTCACAGAATGGTCTAAAACCGAAAATACATACATTAAATATTCAATTTTATTAGTGTTATACGAGGTTTGTCAAAAATAAAGGTACTTTACTATTCATATTCATATTTTTTGACAAACCTTGTATACGGCTTTAAAAAAATGATATCTGATGGTTGCATTATAAGTTTTGGACCATGCAGAACTTTTTATAAATAATGACTTTTTTCATAAAAAAGCTTCCCATATGGTTCCGATTTAATTGGACACACTGTATAAGTTGTTCTTATTAAAAGCAATTTTATTATAATATACTAAAAATATAATGTGTTTTATTGTATTTAGATTTTGAAAGCAAAAGGCATTTATATATGAATTTTGTACAAAGTCAGAATTGGGTACATTTTAGTAAATTTGTTTGGTACACAATATATTTGGTTGCTGCAACACTGGTGCTGGGGCACTATTCAAAAATTATTATTTACTAGAAATCGGCGAAAATAAAAATTAATTTATTCTCCATAAAGTTATAATGTCCGCCTTACATTTGATATGGTGTATAATTGATGATCAATGAAAAAAAGTGATATTAGAGTAAATTCAAAATGCTCCGAACTATCGATTAAGTTTCTAGGAGTTATCGTTAGTAAATTTTTTCGTATTAATTGTAAAAAAAACTTGTGCATGCAACTCGTATACCAAGTGTATTTTTGTGCTTATGGAATTTCCATCAATTTTTCCATATCGCTTAAAATTTCTTGACATGTGCTAGGTCAGAACATTACAGTGCGTTTTTAATTAAAAATATGTATTTTTAATACTCGTACTAATATCTACAAAAGTAAACATTGTAATCTGACAACAGCGATAGTTATAATTAAAATGAAATGCAAAGTATATGATAGAAGTAGGCACAAGTCGTCCTGATTCCTATAATATAGTTTGAATTGTCAATTTCTCTAGTTAAAACTGTACTGGGTTCTTGATTCATAATAAGAACTTTTTTAATCTTTAAAGTTAAGAGATTTAAGGCGTAAACTTTTTAAGCATTTGGAAAAATGAAAGTTTGGCTGATAATCCATATTAAAATGTATAACTGCTGTCTAGTCTTATTTAGATATCCAACAAACGTATATTAATAATTATTATACGAGTATTGACCACAATAATCACACCATCAACATTGTATTAATAAATGTATCAACGTATTATCAAATCTATTTCTTTTAAAATAACTGCGATACGCAACAGTATTGCATAAGTACCTCTTGCACTTGACCAAATGTTTTAATAACTTTATTTCTTTAAGCACGAAATTCTAATACCCCCAACGATTTCTAAAAGTTTCCAACAGCTTCTACATCGTCAATTTATAGTTTCATCCATTCAATACCAAACTAATTATTAGTTACATTCATCGATTTTATCCACTTCATTTTCAGGTGTCTAAATGAATTAATCACTTCAAATTATCGAATTAAACAGCTACGCCCAATGCCAATCCATACTTTCTGTCTGGTGCAAAATTAATTTAACGGAGAAAGCAAAAGAAAAGAGTTCCTATAACAGTTTGTCTATTATTATAGTTTTGTTTTTTAGTCTGCTCCTTTGAGGTATTTGCATGAACGATTTAACTCATTGATTTTTTTTTTTCGTTTATTTTTACTTTCTTTTTAGCATTTTGTAGCTTTTTATTTTTAATACACACATATAATTTACTACTTTTATATTTATGATTGATAGTAATGTCACCTTTAATGTCATTCATTTCATAAATGTTTCATCATGTTTTTCATGTCTTGTAGGTGAAATAATTATTACACTTTAATTAAATAAAGTGTGAAATGTTTTATCGCTAATTGTAAAACTTCTAATTAACGATTTTAATTGTTTTTTCAAATAATATTTGAAATCTATCAAGATAAACAGTGATGTATTGGATAAAGTAATACTCCAATGACAATTTTGTTAGATTAGAAGAAAATTAGAAGAGTTTAAAATGAATGTCTAAGAAATTCAACAATCTTGTTTTCGGAACAGTGTTGATCAAAGTTAATTTTGATCAAGAGTAGATCATGGTTCATTGGAGGTAAACGATTTAAAGTAAAAATGCTTACAAAGACGTCACACATAGCCAATAAACCAAAACAGGAAAAATAATGAAAGATGTCGAAAAAGTAAAGCTCAAAGTAATATCTTGTAGGTAAAAATATACTACGATGTTTCTGGACCCAAAAGAAATTGGGATAGAATGAGTAAACGATAACCCAAATTGAAATGGTGAGTAAAGTTAAACCCGCTAGTGAAATCGGTGCAATAAATGATTAGTCATCTATAAAATACTTTAAAAATTAATATTAATAGTAAACGTAATCAACAACGAGTAATGACGTGAATGAACTGATCAAGATGACAAGCGCCTTAGTCAATAATTAATTTTTAAATGTAAAATACTCTAAAAACTATTAGCATGAAAAATCAAGTAAGAACAAATCTAATAATCAAGAATAAGAGAGTTAATGAACAACTAAAGTAAGACATAAACAAAATCATAAAAAATATAGGTATACATACATGTTTAAGTCCATGAGATGTAATTAAAAAAAAGTGGATAGTGAAGACATGAAATATTCACAATGTCAACGACTTTGACATTGGACAGACAATACACCATATTAGTATGACGCAATTTTGGTTCCACTGACAGTTAAATTCTAATCTAACTTTTAAGAAAACAGCCTTTAATTTGACATATACGTTTTTAACATAGCTCTCAGAAACCCTAGCTACACCATCGCAAAGAAATTTTGAGCCCCTATATGCTGGGTGCCATGATAACTGAATTTCAAGGTGGCACTACTGACAAGACAGAATCAGCGTAAGGTTACTGTAGAAGATATAAGGAAGTAGTAAATTTTAATGTGAAATTTATTTTTTATTGTCGTAAAGTAAAAATGCCTTCATTTTAAAAAGTGTGGCTTAGCATGTATTTGCAATAAGCATATAAAAGAAATTAAGTGTAAGGGTTAAAGAAAAGGTCCTTTATTTCTCACAAGTCAATTTAATTGGCGACCGGTTTCGAAGCTGTCACTTCATCATCAGGCACACCTAAATGGAATGTCAAGGAGTCAGTTGTAATAAAAAACAATTATAAAAGCATAAACGGACTTTAACATATACAAAATAACAGAAAAAACAGAAAAAACACAAAAGAAGTTAAACAATAACCTTGACTCACCTTGACTATTTCCATAAAGGAAGCGCTACTAAAAGTTTAACAAACCGCGGTTTAACCTAACCTACAATATTTTTAAAAAATACTATTGTATTACATATGACTTTTTTAACTCGTTTTGTTAAACTTTTAGTAGCGCTTCCTTTATGGAAATAGTCAAGGTGAGTCAAGGTTATTGTTTAACTTCTTTTGTGTTTTTTCTGTTATTTTGTATATGTTAAAGTCCGTTCATGCTTTTATAATTGTTTTTTATTACAACTGACTCCTTGACATTCCATTTAGGTGTGCCTGATGATGAAGTGACAGCTTCGAAACCGGTCGCCAATTAAATTGACTTGTGAGAAATAAAGGACCTTTTCTTTAACCCTTACACTTAATCCCTACTACTCACATATGGCTACCCTCACTCCAAAATATAAAAGAAACATTTTGTTCTTACCTAAATGTATTTCCTTGCTGTATAGGACACTGAGTAACAAAAGGTACTCCATCATAGTACTGTGTGCCTCTTTGCCAGATTCCGTGCCAATGCAAAGTAACTTCCATACCTTCAATATGATTTTCAACGTCAATTACAACTTTGTCTCCTTGGCAAACTTGAATACTTGGTCCGGGTAACATTCTATTAGCTGTCAATATACCTCTTTCGACTCCATCGGCAAGAACGCATTGACAATTTGACCATACGGCGTTTGTAGCATTGGGGGTACACACTTGACATGCTCTGAAATAAAAAATTGTTTGAATTAATCAACCAGAAAATGTCTGTTTATAAAAAATGGTCTTGAAATTGAAAAGTATTAAAACCGCAATGATTTATATTATGTAGTGGAGACAAAACAAGACCTTGAGAAGAAAATTATTTAATAATTTCATAAAATTATTGATGTGTTTAATATAAAAAAAAATCGTAAAGACAAAATCAAATTATCAATTAATAATTAATATACCAATAACAGACGACTATGTTGGATTAAAATGACTCGACATACATGACCAATACTCATTCGAACGCATGTTGACAAGAAGAAAGTTCCTCTAGTGTTCAAGACCAGAAACACAAGAACCTATTTACGTAATATAAATTTAATACGGCATTTAATTGATAACTGATAATACCCAATTATTAAAATATAGAATAGCGGCTAATTATCTTGTTGTCCTTCGGTAATACTTCTCCCTTCACACCTTTGCCATGTACATACATAGTTTGTATAAATATCTATTTAAACGTAGTTAACACATATTAGAGTATGTCTTAACAGAAATAGCTATAGTAATTAATACGGTAAAATGTGCAAGCATATGTTAATAATTTGGAAATATTTTAATTAGAAGAATGCGGTACACATTATCTTTAATGTACTTAATCCTCGACTTAATATGTCGTTGGTATTGAACTGATATTTATTTAAAACTGAATCAAAGGGGATGGAAACCAAATGAAAGTTCTGAACTAAATATTTGAACTATGTGCCTATATTTTTTTGTCACACAAATACAGTGTTTATAGTAATACAATAAGTATTTATTTGTAAAGACTGAAATCTAATTTGTCATTTGTCAGACATCCGTATTATTATTTTCATAAAATTACTACTGTTTCATTAGTTCTATTATTATTATTAAGTTCTAGTAGGAGAGAAGTCCCCCTCCTAATAGTTCACCAGAATGTTCCTTTAATTATTTTTTCAGGTCGTTCCTATTTTATACCAAATTTCTAAGGAAGGTAAATAGCATAAAAGTATAATTGTTCTGTATACTATAATTATTTTAATTGTAAAAAATATGAAACAATTAACCAAAAAAAATATATATTTTGATAATATTTATATGGAAAATTTACCATAAACTGAATACAACCTAAATACAGGGTGTCCCAATAGTGTGTATCCTATATTATAGAAAATATCAAACAATGTTATTTACAAAAGTTGTAAATAATATTAATCTGCACATTATATTAATCTGCACATTTCAAAATTATTTTCGATTATACAGAGTGATCCATAACTTCAGAATTGATCAAACCTATTTAATTGTAAATTTGAATTCCCCTGACTTTGACCTTCAAGAAAATACCAACATGTATCAAAACTCAGATACATGATTTTCTCACTTTTTTTAAATGTAACACCCTGTTTTTCATATCACTACTAAAAAGTACTCTAATTATACGTTCATTTGAGTAAATATTGCCTATTCCTAAACACAACAGTTTAGCGAGATTCTTAGATGAAATGTTAAAAAGGGTTAATTATAACTAAATTCACAATGTAATTTAATTTAAACTCCTGTTAAAATGTACTGTTTAATCAGTTTATATTTTTAAGGTACCTAGCTACAATTTATTACATTGTGAATTTAGTTATAATTAACCCTTTTCAACATTTTATCTAAGAATCTCGCTACACTGTTGTGTTTAGGGATAGGCAATATTTACTCAAACGAACGTATAATTAGAGTACTTTTTAGTAGTGATATGAAATACAGGGTGTTACATTTAAAAAAATTGAGAAAATCATGTTTCTGAGTTTTGACTCACCCTGTACACATCTGTTGCGTTAGGAAAAAGTTAGTATATTCTTATAAAAGCAGACTATCATTAAAAATTATTCATTAATCAATTTTGATGTTCGATTGTTTCGTTTGAAATATACAGAGGGTTGAACCTAGTACGATTTTCATATAACATTGGTTTAAACTTCCAAAATACCCAGTATAACGTCATACATGTTGGTATTTTCTTAAAGGGAAAAATCAGGGGAATTCAAATTTACAATTAAATATAGGGTGGTCCATTTAAAAAACATATGTTTGATCAATTCTGAAGTTATGGATTACTCTGTATAATCAAAAATAATTTTGAAATGTGCAGATTAATATTATCTACAACTTTTGTAAATAACATTGTTTGATATTTTCTATAATATAGGATATATCGAACTTCCACACACTATTGGGACACCCTGTATATTATATTATTTGAAACTTAAATTGATTCAATTTTAACTTTAATAGTAACAATCTTGTGATATTTAAGTTTATGTTTCATTCAATTATATTTCGTAATGTTGTGTATTAAATTACTTAAGTATAACATTAGATTTCATACATTTTTTTTTTCACAGAAATTGACAAATTATGTGAAAAATGTTCTATGCTATTTATAAGATTAGAACCAATGAATTTTGTTATAGGTGCCATATATAGAACTCAGGATTTTGATGAAAATGCATTTTTAAACGTTTTAAAAGAAAAGTTTGGAAATATCAATAACCTTAAAAAATAGTTTTTATCTTGGGAGACTTTGATATGTACCTTGATTACCTCACTGATTCACTAAACTTTATTACCTTAAAGTCCAACTAGAGTAAAAGGTAATTCAAAAACTTTAATTATTGATTATGTTTTGTCGAATGATGGACACTCTAATAAAGTGGCTGTTATTGATTACTCTTTAAGTGATTACAAAATACAGATAATGTAAACAATGTAATTTAGTTAACAATGAAAAATATAAATGTTCTAAGTTAAATAAATTAGCGTGTAGAAATATTCAATATATAATAAACACTGTCAGGCTTGATCCAAATATTTTATGTGATCAAATAGTGAAAATAGTCTTAAACAATATTAACTATAGGACATATAAAAATCGTTTCTGATCTAAAAGATGTCAATGGTTTAACGTTTATTTACATAACTTAATCAAGAACAGAGATATATGTTATAAAACGCATAAGCTTTTTTCCAATGGCATTCTGCTTCACAGTAAATATAAGAACAGTCAAACTCTCTTGAAAGCAGTTATATCTGAAGCAAAAATGCAATATTGTCAAAATCTGCTAACAAGTGCCATTGGTAACCCGAGAAGAATATGGTCAGTGTTAAACTTATTAATTCATAATAAAATATCAAAGAAACAAATCACAGTAAATAAACTGCAAGTGAAAGATGACTCAAATAAAGTAAGGCAAGTTAGCGCCTGATGTAAATAAAGTGAGACAAACAAAGTATTTTCGAAGATTATTAAATACATAAATTACGATATTTTCTTCTTCTAAAGATACTGCTTTGTGTCTATTTTAGATCGTTTATGCGTACTTGTGCTTGCAATATTTTCAAATACACTCGCTATTCTTATATAACCAAAATTATAATATATACCAATACGAAATTCCGAATCAATTAAAATACAAACGATACGGCTATGAATAAATAAATTCTGACTTATCTGTCAAAAGCAAAGGTGTATTACCGTAAAAACAATGGAAATCATTATTAAATCTAAACGAAAACTTTTATTATGCCGATCAGATGTATTAAAATTTTCATTTTAACTACAAATAAGCATTACAGGATGAGTTATAAAAAAAATATCTACCTCTTGAACCTGTACTACGTTCTGCAAATTAAATTACTGCTACTAGACTTTAATGTGTTTCCATCTTTTATGACTAAGAGCTAATTTGACTCACTTTATTTATATCAAGCGCTAACTTGTCCCTATTGTATTTGTCTCAGCGCAATTCGTAGCAGCAAATTTTTCCCGCGCTAAATTGTCTCCTGCTAAAATGGATCTCATTCGACAAAAAGAGCAATTACTCAAAAGAGCAGGTCCTCACTATGTGTTAATTTTCTCGTAAATTGAAGAACGTAGAAGAGAACTTTAATGAACATGTTTTTATAACTTATCAAGAAAAAAATATGGATCTCAACTTTATGGAGTAAATTTTCAATAATAAAGTTTAGTATATTACATTACGAGTGTGGAAAGTGACATTTTTCACACGAGTGGGAAATATTGTCGCACGAGGCGTAAGCCGAGTGCGACTATCACACGAGTGTGGAAAATCACTTTTCACACAAGTGATGTACAATATTTTTCCTACGACCACAAAATAATTTCATCAAAAAATGTAAAACCAGATTATTATAATAATTAAAATGTATTTAAAAAAATAATCAACAATAATCGTATTTATTAAATTTTCATAATTTCTCAACAAATAAAAAAAATAAAAAAAAAATAAAAAAAAAATTCTGGCACAGCCAGGATTCGATCGCGGTCGTTGGACGGTCTCAAATTGCAAAGTTGATGCTCTAACCAACTGAGCTAACAGGCCTTACGGTAATTGATTGATCTAATCGCTTATGTGTTTAACCAGAATAAAAAGCAAATATATCTTAGTTATTTTAAAATTATTTTAAAAATAATTGTTAAAGTTAAATATCTAGGATCTAATTTACAATAATTTAACAATCATATCGATTTTAGTATTAATATGGACATTACATAGATCAAAATAGAAATTATGTGTTTGACATTTTCTGACAGCTACTGCGGAAAGTAGCATATTCTCACTTGGGTGGAAAGTAAATTCTTATTCATACGCGTGTGATATAGGGCACTTTCCATAGGTCTATATAGTGTGATATGTATCACTTTCCTAAGTGGTCGTAGGAAAAAGTATATAGTGTTGATGTTAGCAAGTATTTCACGGTAATAGCATTCAATAAAAACGGAAAATCAAGGATTCGTATAAAAAAAACTTACATGATATGAACAAGTCAACAAAGCACCAGATAAAAATTACTTTATTATTAATATCGCGACTATTTTTGGATTATTAGAAGCCTGTCGATGGCAAGAATTATATAATTTGTTAATGAAAGTATCGAAATACTGAATTAAATCATTGGTTGTAAACGTTCCAAATA